GGTCGATCTGGGCAGTTCGCCATAAGAGAGAATCAGTCACAAAAATACTAAATGGGAATCAACTGTACTGTAACTGTACTAATTTGGGAGGTGTAAGGCGCACTCTCCCAAATAGCGATTCCTCCGGAACCGCTAGTGGGCGAAATTAGTCGATTCCCATTCAATCCCCAGTCGCTGAGCCGCCATTTTCTTATTTTCGCGAAGTATGAACGCAGCAGAAACTACGAAAAGGTTACATACCATCGTCGAATTTGCACACAACATCTGGAGGAGGAGGGAATCATGGCAGCAAACGACGTAGGAAGGAACTCTTTCAACTGTCCGTAATAAGACAGCCGACGGCACCTCTCTATCACTTCACGAGCGAATATTTTCTTCGCATCCCATCTATCGGCCTAGAAAAGCAGATAAAAATAAGCCAGTATTAGCAGGTGAATCGAGGAGCGGGACAAGACAATCGTGGTTTGTCGCCTTGTACGTGCGACGTGTCGTGCGGCCGTGCGGCAAATCCGCATCAGTTCAAAAGTTCATCAAATCAAACCAGCAATCATCAGTGGAGCAGCAAATCTCATATGCGTTCAAGCGAAAACACTTCCCCTAATCGCAATATGGAATTTCCCAATCACTTAAAAATTCAACTGCAAACGGCTGGGCAGGACAAACCGTCTGTCGGGTGCGGCAGCTCGCCACGCCCATCAACGCGGCATATTACGATGGCCTTGTCACGTACCCGGTGAATTGGGCCGTTAATAAATGAAATGTAATGTACTTACAACGAGGCAATCCTTCCAGTCATTCCATGACCAACGGAAACCAAAATTGGATAAATGGAAGCTGAACCAGTCCACAAGTCTGAACAAAAGTCAAAATATTTTTCTGACAATGAATTTCTATTTGTCCGAATTTCGCTTGAAGCCTGACTGCAGGTCTATACACCGCTCGAGAGAGGCGATGGTTCAAGAAGCAGAAATGAAAATCGGATGTCAAGAGGAATACCTGTCCAGGCACAAGGGTTGCATTGTACCAGCACGTTGATACAGAAGTTCAGCAGGCTTGAAGCAAAACTTGAGGCGTTAGTCGGATGACACTGGCATCTGCATAGATCCAAAAGGACGGGGACCTGCCAGGCACTTTGAAGTTACAGGAGACTCTCCACACAAACAAATTCACAGCTTGAACACGCAAAGTTGATTTAAAGGCACAGTTCGCGACCGCAAATTGCGGGAAACGGAACTCAAATAGGCACAAAAAAGTGCTAAGTATCTGATTAGCGGAGAAAGAAAAGCAGCAGTAAAAGCAGTTCGATAATGTTATAGAGAAAGATAACATAGTGGCTACTAGCTAGTAGCTAGCAGCCGGTGAGGGTCGGCATGGGCCTAAGGGGTGTCCATGGGCCTAATTAGTCAGCTTCTAGCGGAGTTCTTGCCGTTTTTCACATTTTGAAAGTAGCGCAGCCTCAAAAATCGCCTTCCGGATCGTCCGACACATTTGAGAGGTCATAGCCTTATTTTATCGCGGAATGTGGCCTTTAAACATCGCAGAGTGTGGTTGTGTGGGTGTAGACAGAATAAGAAAATAAAAAGCTCCAGGAATGGGGAGTTGTTGGTGCACCTTCTCTCCCCTTTTCTTCACTGCCATGTAATGTGAGAAGAAACGGGCAGAAATTTCCTGGCCCCACCTTTCCAGCAAACTACAAAGGTGCCTTTGAGGCTGAGTCAAAGATCTTTTACACAAGAGGAGCACTAGGTTCATGGAAAAGAAAACTAGAAAATGAAAAACGCGTTTACCATAAAAACCAGTCGGCTGAGGCGGAAGAGGAAGACGGAACAGCTGCGAAAATAATACCTCCAAAATCATGTAAGCGATAGGAACGTTAGCACCACGAGCATAATTGGTCAATTCCTGTGCACTAAAAACAATTACAAATCAAATATAGCAGCATGAGATGAGGAAGAGGCAAGTTTATAAATAGGTAAACTTCCAGAATTCTGACAAAACAATCAGAACTGGCAATCTTTGAAAGTCCGAAATCCTTCCGAAACAATCGCGAGAACACGCGAAACAGGCATAGCCCGATATGAGAAGACTTACAAGGAGTTGTTCAATTCAGGAGAGGCCCTTTCGTTAATTCATTAGATCCTTGTCAAGTGTGAACGAAGCATCAGCTCTTGCATAACTCAACAGGATTTTACACGTTTCCACAGTGATCGATGAGGACAGGCAAAATCCCCCCCCCTCCACACCCCAAAACCGTGTTTGTTTGAAGTTAGCTTCCCCCTGACAAAAGTTTCCTACAAAACAATATTCACCCCGACTTCGTCGCATTTTCATGTGCGGTATCAAAAAGTCAATTTTGAGCACGAATACCTTCAAGAATTTACCTAATCAGATCTATTTGAGTTTTCGTAAAGATTGGAAGAAAATGCAAAACATTAGCCTTAACAACCATCAAACTTACCATATTTTTCTATCGCTAGCATTGAATTCGATTATCCAATTCAGTTCTTCTTCTATCAAAAATCGCTCTATCGAATGAGCTCCCGGAAGTACTGTACCCTAAAACAAAGTGGATGTCATCGAAAGACAAGTAAGAAGGAGTTGAGGTTTCTACGCCCTTAACATTCTGTATAACGGCGCAGTGGGACGGGGGGCATTTTGCATTTTCGCTGCTTCACTAGTTCCGGTTTACAAGTCTCACCTTGGTAACCTGAAGGCTTGTGAAGCAGGAATAAGCTCGTCCAGCCAACATGGTAAATGATATTTATATGGCATATTGTTGCTTTACAAGAAGTCATGGGTCTCTATAAACGTTGATTGGTATCATTTCGTGGCTTCGCAAGATTACACAGGTCTCCTGTAGATGGCTCGACACGTCGATGTGAAGTAGCAGGTCTGAGCGCCCCCGGCCCCGCACCCCCCCTCCCCTCCCCCACCTCACCGATCTAAAGCCGAAACTGGGTCAAGAACACATCAGCAGACAATATTCGCTAAAAATAGATTAAAAGTGGGAATGAAAGGAAACTCACGTCTTCCGGACAATCAGCATAATCAAAAAGTCTGAACACAACAATGGGCAAGGGGTAATTTGATTCCTCTTTGTGGATAGGTGGCGAAAAACTGAAATCGTAAAAAAATAGATGGCAGCATGGTCGCAGAGCTTCATTACTGTTACGAACCTGGGCAAATTATGTTGCAGAGCATCTTGAAGTGCAGCATCGAATGCCACATAATGCCTCGCAATCTGTTTCTCCTTCCAACCTACACTTTGCAAGGATTTTATTTGAGCCAACAAACAATCCAAGTAGTCCTCTTGCTCATGTGGTGAGCTCGAACTCCAAACTTGCAGCATCTGAAACGAAGTCCAATGCCAACTTGAGTATGGAGAAATCTTATCCCTTCACCTTACCTTGAGATGGACTTTTCTTCGTCCTTCGACGTACTTACTAGCTCCTTCAAGAATGTTTTCCAATTCATCCTTCTTCTTCTCACTCAGTTCCAATCCAATCCATGGTAGAACGCGCAATACCACATAAACGAACCAATCTGTGCGCGCCTAAAAGTAGGAATTGAAAATCTTAAGAGTATGCGGGATCAAACTATGCCTAAAAGGGTAGAGAAGTCTGGTAGAACCTACTTGTGGTACATTCTCTTCAAAAACGCATTGTAGTAGTGCTTCAAGGAACTCAACAATTGAACTCAAGGTGAGCACTCGACTGTTTCCCAGGTCGCAGAGAAATGTTATCTAAAGATGGAACCTATATAAAAAGAAGGGCGCTCGTCGACTTGGGAGGGACATTTTGCACTTTCACTAGTTCCTTTTCAAGGTCATAAAATTAACAGGTTGAAAGACATGTGAACTCCTGTAAAGCTGCGAAATGGTGTAATCGA